GCTGATTATTATCACCTAGAAACGTGCGTATTGCAAATAATGATGTCCGAGTAACGTTATTCGAAAACCGTGTGTGACATGAATCTGAATTATCGTATCCAACACGGTGGTTGCTGCTTTTATGCGAAGTGTGCTTCTGGGTGACTGTGGCTAAGTTGTAGGCATAGTTGCTCGCTATTGCTGCTTATGCGGACAGCCAAAGCAATCAAGAAGGAATGAGATGAAGGACAATGGTTGGAGGCGAAAGTCATTGGTGTTTTCCAGAAAAAATGTCACGCAGCTTAGGCTCAGAAAGAAGAATGGCATTGAAGAAATTTAAACGATTTGTCATCATGATTGTTGAACTACAGCATGCGCTCGATGCTATCGATGGCTTTATTTTCCTTATCACAGAAGTGCTTTCCGTCATTCACAACCCATGTACGTGCTAAATGAAAATCGAAATTCCATATAGGTGAGTGGCATGTCGTAGTTGAGGTGTGACAAATATTGCAATATTCTAAGCGTCTTGCACCTTTACAGCTTATATTTGGGAAACAGGATATCCCATTCCTCTTTGATCTGGCCTGAAGCCTATCTAAAAATTGTGTGCCTTGGGTTTCTCGAAGATCATTTGCACGCGCTCGGATATGCAGTTGAATGCCTTTTGCTCAGGTGGGGGCTAATTTTAACCCCTGACATCTCAAAAAGTGAGACACCAGATACCACAGACACCAAATTCACATAGCGGGCTGATTGTTTTTTTACTCCCTTGTGTCAATATTTGTGATTCCTAGATCATTACATTCAGATCAAACAAGGTCACAAAAAGTCCAATGTGAGACAAGGTGAAACTTCGGATTGTGTTTAAAGTGTCTCTAGACCTTCTGATGCAACCGCTTTGGATCTAGATACTTATACGCAACAGTTCGATGGAGTCCATCGTAAGTTAATGATCTCGTTAGACCCTTGGAAGGTCATGATGGTCAAGAGCTTTAATTTGTTTTCATTATTGAATTGCAATAAACATCAACGATTACGCCGTGCGGTATGTTCCCCCCCCCCCCCCCCAAATGCTTAACTGAGTCATCTTAAGCCTGAGCCATCTAAGCCTTAAACCTGCCCAACCATGGACGAAGTCTACTGCGGTCACTGTTATGAAAAAATAGAAATGAGCATCAGAAACTAACTCATAGTGCAGGTTCTCCAGTAAAACAGCGCGTTGGTTTTGACCTTGAGCTGACCTTCATACCTGATCCAACCTCAATCCAATTTTCGTAAGTCTAAATTTAATTTATAATGATATTAGAAACTATCCCAGAGATGTATGATTTCTTTTAACACTTCGCTGTCGCATCAGATTGAATGAATGCACAGAAATAGCATTCGCTGACAGCAAATGCCTGACTGACTTGCCGGGGCTGAGCGACCTCATACGATGCACCTTAATGCCACATAGCGAATATTGATGGCATATGCTAAACGTAAACACCAAAAGATCCGATTTGGATTACCGATAGCTGTGCAAAGTTTTACGTGGCTACGCCTCGTCGTTCTGAAATAATTTGGAAAACATTCGGCAGGGTAAAATTTATCCTATTTGAATGCGTGTGAAAAACATAGGAAGTCAATTTGACCGTCCCCCAAGATATTTTTCTGGAATGATTTCCCGAGGTAGCAGCGCCGAACTTTGCACAGCTGTAGGCATTTGAGTGGCGGATCTATGGCTTACCAATCATAGCTGTGCCCTGTAAGGTGGCTGATCTATAGCAAATAAAATCAGGCTATCTGTCAGCGAAGACAATTTCTAGGAAATAGCTCAATCAGATACCACGGTCGACTTTTGGACAGACTCAGGCCCCTTTTATAGTTTTGAAGAAATTAAGCAATCTAATTTAGCATTATGACGAATTCCATTGGCCTTGGGTCAAATGTGAGTGTCAGCCTAAGGTCTAGGCCCTGCCGTTTTTTTACAAGAGAATTTGCTTTATGGGGTAGCTTATCGTGCTCATTTCGAATTTGTGATATTAGGGGCCGCAACAGGCATCTTTAAAGACCTTTAAAAGATCAGAAACGGTTATTTATACAAAATTACCCAGATCAACCCTCTCTTTTAGAAACCTGCCACCTAGCGTAATTCTTGACGCTTATCGAAATCCAAAATACAAACAGTTCCGGAGGTTTTTGGTCACCATGACATTAAAAAGATCAAACAAGGTCACTGATTTAAAAAAAACATTACCAATATATTGCTTAGAACAGGCATCTAGGTTCAAAGCGGTTACATGTGGACCTTTGGGTGCACTTTGGACACCAATCTTGAGTTTGATCTTGTTTAACCTTATTTGGCCCGAAGGTCATAGCCTAGTAGCCTCAAACTTTGAAAGAAGTGAGTCCACATACTGACCAGCCCACTCTGTAAATTTGGTGTCTAGTTCCCTTAGTTTTCGAGATCTCAGGGGAGAGTCAAATTGATCACCACCCGGGCGTTTGGCATTCACCCGGCCACCCAGGCGCGTTTTAAATAAAGTTTCAAGTTATGCTAGATCCCGGATGATCTATTGACAACATAGAAATAAAAAGAGCACAAGATTTTCGAGTACATTGCCGTTTCATTCTTCTAAAGAGTAAACTCCAGAAGATTCGCCAGCAAAAGCAAAAAGAGATTACAAAAACAAACAAAAACAAAGATCCCTAGAATGCAAAACCTCCTCAACAACATTTCCGACTAGACCTAGTGAAATTAGACTCCAATGGATCCTGGAACCAGGACTCAAGGAGTTATGTATATGCTACAGGCACATGCCTGAGGAGCGATGTTGTCGCGACCTACGGCAGGGGCGGTGTCACGGTCTGCAGTGGGACAAGCGTCACCTGCTACAACAAAGAGACTCGCAACAGTCTGTGAAGCGAGATCTCGCAGCTCACGGCAGCGCAGGGCGCCTCCATCCGTCCAAATCTCAGTGCTGGCTGTAGGCTCCCGTGGCGGTGATAGTACCCGCGCGTGGGGACCGCTCGCAGCTCGCGCCGCCGGACGCCGGCGCGTTTCACAACGGCCACAATGAAGCCCCGTGCTGGCGGTACGTGCACGGTGGCCAGCTGGGTCGACCCTCGGGCGTGTTGGGCAACGCCGCCGCCTGACAGGAAGCGGAGCCACTTCACCGGCGGTTGGTGCAACCCACCAGTGATGGGGAGCGGCTGAATGCGGCAAGCCCCGGGCGGCGGGGAGCAAGTCACCTCCGCAACAGTCACGGCCGCAACAGTCACCGCCGCAACAGTCTGTCGCTCTGTCAAAGGTCGACGCGTCGGCGGCGGGAGGGCCGCATTGTGACTTTCGTCAGGGCGTGGCTAACACGCACATTCGCCGCTTACTTTCACCGCGGCAGAGCTGAGCTTCATGTGATCTCCAGACACGAGCTGGAGAGAAGCGGTGGGCGTGGGCGGCCGTCCCGCCCCACCCATCGACCAGGTCGCGCCCGAGAGGTCACGCACCGTACACAGATGATCTCAGCCACCCGGGGCCGAGTTGGCTGGGACGGCCTCCTGCCTCTCGGAACCCGCCGTGCCATTGCGAGAGGTCCTGTTGACTGTGGTTGTCTCATTCGTTGTTGTTGCCATACTGTTCGTCTCGCCTCGAGGCCGGGAGGCTGACGCATGACATGCATAATTCAGTCGTCGAAAGTAAGTGGCGGTGGGACAAGAAGCCACCCGCCGAGTTTTGTTGGTTTTCCACGGTGACAGGGGCTGTTCATTTCGCCATCCATTATCGTTAATATCCGTTCCTCCTACAGTTCTGGGTGTGGGTCGTACGGCAGTGAAACATAAGGGAATCTCACATTCGCACTCACACATTCTCACGTTTGTGTTTTCACATGTTAAGACAAGCTTGTCCATGGTGAGAGGCAAAGGGACCGAATAATCTGCAAACAAAATCCTTTGAGCGCATGCGCGGGGTTGTGCACCTGCAGCACGCGACCAGAATATTGCGAAAGCTCCTCGAGAATACAGATGCAAATGAGCACCCGTACTTGCCAAGCGGTGTTTTCTTGAAATAGAGATGGCTCTCGGCCTTCAAGGTGGCTCTCAGTTTGCTAATGTTAAGTTGAAATATTCGAAAATTGATCCCAAATCAGTCCAGATGCCCATTAGTGGGTCCATAAAGTCATAAAGCAAGCAAATCCAGCGCACAGTAGACGGATCGCCATGCGCGGTCCGCGATGTGATGAAGCGCACAGTCGTTGCCAGTGACTGTCTTACCTGTTTCAGTGTCTCTCAGTGGTTGGCTCGCGTTCTGCAAAGTTCCCCTCAAATCGCAAACATGTCTGAAAAACGATGCTAAATTTGTGTACTCATGCATGAGAGGGTCTCTAATCCATCAGTTTATTGAGGCTAAAAACTTTTTTACGCAAGCTGTTTTGATGATGCAAAATCCGAGACTCCACAGAACGAGGTTTTTGTTCTCATATGTTCGTGTCAGTTGGTCCATACCGGCATCGTGTCACGTGCCGAACAGTTTAATGTCCAAAAAGTATTTGCACAACCTTGGACAGCATCTGGCAGCCACCGGCCCGAGTTGGATCTTCTGGACGCGTAACGTTGACGTTGCTCTAATCCTGGGCATCCATGTTAAAGAGTAAACTGTAAAAAATGCTGCAAGCTGGCAATTCTGGCCATACTGAAAACCAACGCTGGCCTTTCATTTGTCTACCGCCGCGTGGGTAGCAGCGCTTGACCGGCGGCATTTTTTCGGGAGATATGCTGTGCACTGGGGTGAATAAGAAGCTTCATTTGCTTTTGGAGGAAGATGGATAAGTTTATCTGCTTGTCATTTCGCAACTTTCTGCTTAATGATGGCCAGGTACTACCTATTGATGGGTAAGTATCCGTTGGGAAGGATGAAGCAATTTGACTTTCATTGGCCAAGTGCACATCCGTAATTACAATCGTCACGCAACAGTAGCTGCTACCATTGTATATTTTATAGTTTAAATTTAATAGTGCTACCTCAAGTCAAAAACAAGTATCACTGTTGCTTGTATTATACCACGTCATCGTATTCACACTATTGACTACAAGGGAAACTTATTAACAAAACCGCGGATTGTTTACGGCTCATGCTTCCTTTACTACTAATATTTTCTGGCACGCAGTTCGGGAAACAGCCCATTTTTCTGCCGCAATTGTGACAGGAGGTTCTGATAACTATTCAGATAGAAGTTCCGGCACGTAATAACGTATGCCTCCAGTCCGCCAGATATGGCATATGGGGTAGAAGACATGTGCCTCATTACCTAGACAGAATTACACTTTTCTGACGCACAGCCGGTGTCGCTAACAGCACGGAAGTCCTCACAAGCAGCGTTCGCTCTGGACAGACCTCACCCAACTCACTGGACAGGACTACTCCTGACACTGACCCTCGCGGAGGACACAGACCGCTCCCCGCACTCCTCAGCTCCCCGCTGAGGGTTTGCACGCGCCGCGGCCCTCTGGGAGCTTTCGAACACGACCGCACCGCCTCGGCCTCTTCTCCGATGCGACAGCGACCCGTCGGAGCCGGGCGCGGTCTGCGGTCGCCGCCGCGGCGCCAGCCCGGCCCCTCAGGGGATGCGGAGGCGGCTGGTGGAGCGCGCGTAGGCGAGCAGCTCGTCCGAGTCCTCGCACACCCACGGCTTCTGGTGGTGGCAGGCGATGTCGTGCCACTTGACGCCGTCGTCGTAGAAGTTGTTGAGGATGCCGACGCAGCTCTCCTGGCCCGTGCCCTCGGCCTCTTCCCGGTTGTCCGGCTGCGGCCGACCGGAGCCGCCCGTGTGCGACCAGTTGGGGAAGCCGTTGGTGATGCGCTGGTTGGTCGGCGGCATCTTTTCGCCCGAGCCCGACCAGAAGAAGCCGTTGATAATCAGCGGCTGCGGACGAAGAGCAACGCATGTTACTTTACCTGCTGCGGATGCTGCATTTTCTATTGCCAGCATACCTTGATAATCATTTCCCCGTCCAGGGTTTGAGCGCACACCAACACTTTTTTTAAGTTTGCAGCTGAGCATTGCGCTGTACTAGCGCCCTCGCAATGCTGAAATTTCAACAAAGGGCATTGTAACAAATAAGTCCACCCAAATAACAAAGTTGTATTGTGACCCAAACAAGTTAATGACGGACCACTTTGTCCACTAACATTAAGCCGACACCAGACCTTGAAAACGTATTGTTAGTTTTTCCGATAGTCGTCCCCAAGCCTATTTATAAGATGAACACAGTTTCAGCACTTCAAACAGTGTTGAGCCCATCCCAAATTCAGACTTCGCCCAAAACCGTAAATTCAGACTTCGCGGCTTGACGCATTGGACACTGCATGAGGCTGTGCTGTGGTCTGTGACGCGCGGGTGACTATCATCAGGCCAGACCACTCAGCCCGCTCTCGCCCCCCACCCGCTTACCTGCAGGTCAGGCCGGTCGCAGCCATCGAAGTCACACTTCCTGCCGGACGTCCAGATGTACTTGACGCCGTCCCGCGCGACGGCGCTCTCAATCATGCGGGCCTCCTCCGCTGTCTCGAGCGACACCAGGTCCTGGCAGTGCTTGCGGCAGATGTTGCGGCCGTCCAGCCAGTCACGCTCGTGGCGGGCCGTGGCGCGGTGGCGCCACGAGTAGAAGTAGTGGTGCCCGTTGCGGAACTCGTGTGCGTGCTTCACCCCTGCGGAGAGCGAGAGATGTGGCTGAGAGGCGCTGCTCGAGGACGGCCGTCATCAGCCAGCCCGGGGCGGAGGGGCTTGGTTTATTAGACGTGGCCGTTTCAGAGCGGCCGGCTTTTATCGACTGACTCTGGCCAGGGAACGAAAACCATCGGATATTAGAAGAGACTACGTCTGAAGCGGCAGAGCTTCACAAATCACAGCACAACTTATCAGCTTCCAATCTCACATGCTTATTGCAGCTTTGGCGTTTATGGTGTGCCATCCCAGACCAAGTAATGTCTCACGATGTCCTAATTCTAGCTCCTGCCTTCTTCAGCCTGTTACCACATGTGTGTTCGGAAGTACCACTCATGATAGCGTTGGATAAAGAGTAAAGCAGCCAGACTGTTGGATCAGGGGTTTATTCATTGCAACATCCTTCGTCCCATGGGTGCAAGTTGATCTGGTCATGACAATCGGGCATGAGTCTGAGTACAGCTTGAGATGGAGTCCGAGCCAGCGCTCCCAAGAGTCCCCGGGCTGTGTCCCGGGTCCACCCATGCCGCGTTATTTTTGCATGCAATGTAGATTGAGTTGCAAAATGCATGGGCCCGAACCCCAATTATCTAAGGTTGATTTCGTGCCCCCATTGCTAACGCCTCAAAGCTGAGTTCGTTCCTGGCGTCGTTAGTCTTTTGTTATTGTTTATTGGAGTTTTCGGGCGCGCCGACTGCGTGGTCCTTTGGCGTGCATCGGTTGTTCGCGTCTGGGTAGCAGCACGTTGGTTGCAGGGAAGTCACGATCATACGACATAACATCATAATATGAGCCCTCTGTCTGCTCCGGAATTTCAATGTTGACTATTGGTCCTGCCACCCACCCGCTTTCCAGCACTCGCCTGGCCCCCAATATGGGGAAATGTTTGACCTGACTTCAGAGGCTTTGGTCGACCGCAATAGGTCAAGCTGTGACTCAGGATTCTCTCGCATCAGGCCACTCGCCTCTTTCCGTGCTCTTTCGCAACTTGCGATTTAAATGGTTGGACGGGGTGCGTTAAGCATTTAACCCCACTTGCCACCAACCAGTCCCGCTCCAGTAAGAACGGATGGCGTGGTTCATTTTCAAATAACTAGCGTTGCAGACAACATTTGATTACTCCCTCCAAGACAAAATCAGAAGCCAGCACAACAGGCGGCGTGGGCGAGCCTTCGAATACATCCACGCAGCTATTCTAGCCGAGCTCTTGTTTTTCATTAGAATGCTGATGATGAAAGACGGTGAGTAAATGCATCCGAATAACGTCCATAACCTGGTTAGCTAAAATTACGGAAATAGAAGTGCTGTCTTAAATGGGTTACATGTTTGTTTTTGCTGATGGTAACAACGGCGGGGTTAAAAATAGTCCTCGATGGCTGTGATTGTGGACGACCTTACGGTTAATGCGAGATCTTATCAGGAAGACACACAAACAGGAAGAGGCCTCACGATATGCGTCTCAAGTGAGATGGACGAGGCAACGGCGCTCCGGCAATTTGAGCTAGAAACATGTTGACAAACATCACACGAAGGCCACCGTGGCAGTTATATTTAAATGCTTTTGAGATCTGAATAGCACACGAAGGCCACCACCGCTGTTATATTTGAATGCTTTTGAGATCTGAATATCACGTACCAATTCGATGCACACATTTGGAGTGGCAATAAGTTCATCATTTTTACTGCATGCTGCAGCATAAAGCTATAAGGGTAGTGGCTACGGGGGTTGAAGGGCGGCGAGAAAACAGCATGAGGCTGAAATGCGACATGGTCAGGGTTGTTTTCAAAGAAAGCAGATGGCCAGGGCTACCTTGTTTAGTTGCTTTGTAGAGAGAGAGAGAGAGAGAGAGAGAGAGAGAGAGAGAGAGAGAGAGAGAGAGAGAGAGAAGAGAGAGAGAGAGAGAGAGAGAGAGAGAGAGAGAGAGAGAGAGAGAGAGAGAGAGAGAGAGAGAGAGAGAGAGAGAGAGAGAGAGAGAGAGAGAGAGAGAGAGAGAGAGAGAGAGAGAGAGAGAGAGAGAGAGAGAGAGAGAGAGAGAGAGAGAGAGAGAGAGAGAGAGAGAGAGAGAGAGAGAGAGAGAGAGAGAGAGAGAGAGAGAGAGAGAGAGAGAGAGAGAGAGAGAGAGAGAGAGAGAGAGAGAGAGAGAGAGAGAGAGAGAGAGAGAGAGAGAGAGAGAGAGAGAGGAGAGAGAGAGAGAGAGAGAGAGAGAGAGAGAGAGAGAGAGAGAGAGAGAGAGAGAGAGAGAGAGAAGAGAGAGAGAGAGAGAGAGAGAGAGAGAGAGAGAGAGAGAGAGAGAGAGAGAGAGAGAGAGAGAGAGAGAGAGAGAGAGAGAGAGAGAGAGAGAGAGAGAGAGAGAGAGAGAGAGAGAGAGAGAGAGAGAGAGAGAGAGAGAGAGAGAGAGAGAGAGAGAGAGAGAGAGAGAGAGAGAGAGAGAGAGAGAGAGAGAGAGAGAGAGAGAGAGAGAGAGAGAGAGAGAGAGAGAGAGAGAGAGAGAGAGAGAGAGAGAGAGAGAGAGAGAGAGAGAGAGAGAGAGAGAGAGAGAGAGAGAGAGAGAGAGAGAGAGAGAGAGAGAGAGAGGAGAGAGAGAGAGAGAGAGAGAGAGAGAGAGAGAGAGAGAGAGAGAGAGAGAGAGAGAGAGAGAGAGAGAGAGAGAGAGAGAGAGAGAGGGAGAGAGAGAGAGAGAGAGAGAGAGAGAGAGAGAGAGAGAGAGAGAGAGAGAGAGAGAGAGAGAGAGAGAGAGAGAGAGAGAGAGAGAGAGAGAGAGAGAGAAGAGAGAGAGAGAGAGAGAGGAGAGAGAGAGAGAGAGAGAGAGAGAGAGAGAGAGAGGAGAGAGAGAGAGAGAGAGAGAGAGAGAGAGAGAGAGAGAGAGAGCGAGAGAGAGAGGAGAGAGAGAGAGAGAGAGAGAGGAGAGAAGAGAGAGAGAGAGAGAGAGAGAGAGAGAGAGAGAGAGAGAGAGAGAGAGAGGAGAGAGAGAGAGAGAGAGAGAGAGAGAGAGAGAGAGAGAGAGAGAGGAGAGAGAGAGAGAGAGAGAGAGGAGAGAGAGAGAGAGAGAGAGAGAGAGGAGAGAGAGAGAGAGAGAGAGAGAGAGAGAGAGAGAGAGAGAGAGAGAGAGAGAGAGAGAGAGAGAGAGAGAGAGCATAGAAAGCGTGTCGTTCTCAGGCCCCGTTAAAGTGGTGGATGTGTGTGTGGGTACATATGATGAAATATCCTGGTAACATGCAATCTCAAACATAATATCCTGTCGCAACTTAGCAAGATGCACTGGTATCTGGCTAGATGAATAGGTAAGCCAACATGACATAATTTCAACGTGATGACGAATATGCTGCAGTACGATTATAGCTCAGTTGTAGTATATGTTAGACGTCTTACAAAGTGCATTCGGATCCCAGCCATGAAACTGCACGCTAGGTTCAGTCGAGCAAAAAATAAGGCATCTAATGGTACATAATTGAGAACTTTGTATAGCATGATGAGTCGTGCTTTACAGTGAAAGGTGTTTTGGACAAGGGTCGCAAAACGAGGGCTGTCACATGCTCTTTTCGAGACGGCAGGCATACACTAATTACCAGGTTCTCACAGAGATTAACAGATCTTACAGATGCGTGAGAGATTCCGTAGAGAGCTAATGGTTTGTCGTCAAAAAGGCTCATCAAAAAACACAGCAGACGGTGCTAGCTAGCAAAGAGCACCAACACAGCCAAAAAACGGATAAGACGTCGCGACGCTGATAGCGTTATTTGGTACCTGATGTAGTGACCGCACAACTTACTGTTCGCACACGCGCGAGCGTCTGGCAGGATCAGGTCTCGCTGCGCCGATATAGCCGCAGCGACGGCGAACAGGACCAACGACTTCAGCATTGTCTGGAACGGAATGGTTTGCAGCTGAACGTGACTAATGGTGTGCTCCAGTCAGCCCGAGCTTGAGGCTGAGGCCGAATCATCCGCGGAGTTGATCATACTTCAGTTGAGTTCAAGTGAGATGACTGTGCACACTATACGGTGAGGCAGATCGCAATTCATTTCTGATCAAACGAATCTCAAACGTGATTTGAGCCGAAGACAACCATTAATCGTATCAAGCTTTATTAGTGTTACATCATGTGTGTTTTATGTGGGACGAGCCTGCCTATATTCCGCATATATTTTGCATAAGGGCGGAGCGGATATATCAACTCTGCATATACGTCACATGAGGCGGATCTCATATATAAGCTCGGATACTTAAGATATACTTGTAGGGCGTGCAATACAATCTTCTTTCTTTTGTTTCAAAAACTGGCAACGGTTTTTTCCTTAAAAAACTATTTGTTCAAACGATATATTAAAACATTGCGAGCAAAGTCCATTTGTTTTTACTTGGGCCAGTGCACTATATGTGCAAAGATAAGTGATACCATGCGTTTATGGTTCATATCCTCCCATTAGTTGCTTTCGGACGCTACCGTTTCTATTTTATGATGTTTCCAGGCATCCATTGGTAGAATAAACCACGAAAATTCATGCTGGGCCTCCTACACAAAAATATTTTTGGATATGGCCTACCGAAGAGACAGCCTTCCCGCACCAAGGCCGTAAAAAGCCGCACAGGATTACGGAGAATAAATACCTTGCTGGCCAGACCCCTGTGCTTTCGTATGGTTAATTCGTTACACCAGAGTGAAACACATGTTACCATAATAGCACCACAAGTATAGACATATACATGTAGACGAAAAAAGAAATCAAAAGTCAGAGAAAATGACGAAGTCCAGTCGGCAGTCGTTGAACCATGCTGAGCCGCTCGTGCAGCCCTGACATTGATTTCACGGTCCAAGAAGTCGGAGCGCTGGCCGTGCGCCGCTGGTGCGGCCCGGCAGACCGCCGTCCCTGCCCGGATCCGCGCGGCCCCTGAGACTCGGGCGCCCGCGGGCCGGCCCGGGGTCGTGACCCGTCTCCTCTGGTGCAGGAGTCCAACACGCGTGACTGCGGTCGAACAGTCGTGCTCGTCGGACGGACTGGATTTGTTATGCCGGTGTTTGATATCATAAACTAACGTAAATTTCGGGGCGAAAGATGTTGAAAGGCAGCGAGTTCAAATTTTAATGCTCTCTAACCGAGTTATCTCAAGCCATTTCCTTCACTGGGTCATAGAGCTGGGTCTCTGAGTTCAGGGTCATAGTACTTTGTCGCTTAAACTATGCCACACCGAAGAAATATCCTATCCATTTTGCGGAAAAGACGGGGGCAATCTCGTCGTGGATCTTTCATGGATGCACTTTAGCTTAAAGTAGATATGAAACTGATTCATGATGACTGTAAATTCCTAAGCTTCCAATGATTCAATGATAGAAAATGATTCCGGCACCAGTTTGTGTAAAACATCATGTGATCGCTTTTAACCGAAGGCATCCGTATGAGAGATGAGAAACACACCCGTGAGAGAAGTAAGATAAGCATCGAGTAATCCTCCTTCCCATGGGCTTTAGGACTCGCGTGAGAACTCAAAGCACGATCGTGCTTCTGGGAGACTGAGCGCAGAGTCGAGCGCCTGCGAAGAGCGGCGATAATCGCATGTTTACCCGAGATCGCCTGTGAATGTTTACCCTTTTCTGGAGTACACCGACCGTTCAGCGAAGGGCGGCCTTGAACCCGGTCAAACGTGCCGGTGAAAGTGGCTGCTACGCATCTCCAGTTCCGGCAGCTGGCCGCGCGGAATCTGACCGCCGGTCCGGACCGGACGCTGGCAGCATCACCCGCGGGCGGAAGAGGCTGACGCGGCGCGGGGAAAGCCGCTCCCCGCGCTCACTTTCACGCGCCCGCGCCGGCTCCGGCAGAGAGGTGAAACGATCGGCTGCCGGTCTGGCCGGCCCTCGTCTCGCCGGGTGACAGGCGGGGGCCACGCTGCGGCCGCGCTGACGGCCCGTCCGGGCTGACGTCATGGGAGATGACAGTGCGTCGCGTCATCAGCGGGTCGAACCGACGCCGATCGGCGCCGAGTGGCTCGCGGACCGGAACGGACTACGCCGAGGAAGCTGGAACTTTGGGTCGGAGCGCAGGGAGAATTCGCTGCAGACGACGCGCGAGAGACAGATTGGCTTGAGAGCAGTCGTTGTGTGTGAAAGGAGTGAGCACAAGACGAGACTAGGGAGATCAAAAAGTTTATGCAGGAAGATCAAGATGTGCAATCAGTAAAACGCCTTATTTGATGCAAGATCATTTAGGCAACGGCAGAGATAGCTAGTCCCATGTGAATTATGTCAAAACCTGCCAAAACCTGCGTGCGTGAAGTCAGTCGCCTTTGAGACAAACACGAGCGAGTCCGGCCTTTGTCCATGTCCGTTTTTCTTTGGGATTTAGCAGATGCCTTCGTTGTTTAGCGATCAAATAACATTGTGTAACGTTGCTTGAGCATTAACTAACTACCAACATAGTGATTTCAGCACCAGAAAGCTAGTCAAACCAATAACTGTGTTTATTTCCTCTTGCAGCGGATGAAATTAAAGTATTGAGATGAAACGGAGGCACTTTGTGAGGACATTTCGGCTTATCACAGCTGATAGGGCTAAAGCTGTGTATGACTCCCATGGTCCCATGCGTGGAGGGCTTACCCCCGCATTTAAACATTACATAAAGGCGAGACCCCGTGATGACGTCAATGGTGGGGCGGCAGATGTAAACAAGGTCGGGGAAGCCATTGCATTGTTGCACTGTCGGCAAGGGCGGTTGCCAAGTATGGATCTTTGCATATCATGACAGAATGACTAGGCATTTTAGTGGCAGTTACTCCCAAAGCAGCTCGCAATTTGTTTTGCAACGTTTTGAGTGTCTTCTGAGAGCTTTTTGTTTGTTTTTGTTTGCTTTTTTGTGTGTTTCATTTGTTTGTGTGCTTTAAGTATTTGCCACACACGGCAAATCGTGGCCTTTCACCTTTTTGGCCAAACGCCTTTTGTAAGGAGTACTTGCGTTCATAAGACCTGAAAATTTGCATTACTTTAAACAAAAACGCTTCATACGTATTCGGTTATAGTTGGATTTGACTGACGCGGAGGGAATCGTTCCGTTCAGGAATAAATTCAGATGGACATCATTTGTTAACGCTTGACGCAATGCCAGACCACAACGACGTCACTGACGCCTCCTTAGACAACAGCTCGTTCCCTCTTTCGGAACAACTGTTCTACCTCTTGGCATTACCTTGGTATCGCCATTTCTGAAAGATGTTAATACTCAATTTGCGGTTGACTTGCGTCACCACTGCTCTGACAGTGTTGAGGCAACTTGGCGTTACAAATTTACACGACTAAAAACTTCGTATTGTTAAACGGTCTGCACTCAAACGCTTGAAAAACATCACAACGCTGGTATCATTAGAATCGTCCTACGAGCTGCTGGAAACTGCAAGAAGGCGTGAGCATTGTGCACAAGGAAGCACCAGATCGCAAAAAGCGTGGTGATGCATTCAGCTTCTTAAGATCTTCATGACTTACAACACTAAAGGTCACTTCTCACGGGGAGCGTCAGCTATAATGACGCACGTAACTGGAGCAGATTCGGTCACACGCGGGCAACACTACTTCCGTGTCGTCTGTCCAGCCGCCCATAATCTTGGAACTTCTCGCCCGCTTTTCATAAAACCGCCGACAGTCGATTCGCAGCACCTGATAGCATTAGCTGCAGTGAATCAGGTGACTTTGTGATGTGCAGGTAGCGATGGCGGCATAAGTTATTTCCGATCATTCGAACGTCATAGGTAGTTGTTCCGCGCCAGTTCCAACTAGATGATCAAAAATAGAGGATGTTTTAGTGGTATGGAGTTGGTTTCTGGTCGATTCGTACCCCGGGGAATGTTGTCCTGAGGCTGACGATATGCCTCTTCAAGACTTATTCCAAACCTTTTGATTGGGTGGATTTCTAGGATTCAGCGCCGGCGTTAAGCAATGCCTGTCACGTGAGCCCTGATTTCACCATCCGATCGTAAAATTCCATGTCAACGGCAGGCTTTTGCCGCGAAAACTCAACGTGCCGCAGTGCTCTGCACGACCTGTCCTGGCCTGTGCCGGCAACGCTGCCTTTAGCAGAGCCGCTGTCCCCAGCTGCGGGTCGTCCCAGTCAGCGGAAAACAGCAAGCGCCTCAAACGACTCGAACGCATTCCGCTGGGAGCGGGAGAATCAAAATGCAGACATTCTGAATAACTGAGGCATCAGGACGGACAAAACTGTCGCTTTTCCCCCATGATTATCGAGTTTGTTGAGTATGTACCTCAGGAGTAGAGCACCCATACTATGTGCTTGCCACTTTCACACAGAAGTCAAGCTGAAACGGCTAGGTTCCGCATTTTTTAGACGGCCTGGAATCTTTTAACGGCAAATTCACTGGCATTTCTTAGTTAACCTTAGCTATAGCAGCTTCTGCCTTTGATACGTGCTTGCCTGCAAGACTTAATGAATCTTTGTTACTAAGGACTAGCAAGATGACAAGGCATCGTTGGGTGTTTTTACAGGTAGTTCGCATTTAAGTAAATTTAACGCCGTTTGAAATTTTTGGGCTTTAAGCAATCGTTTCTCTGTCTACACCGCGTAAATCAGGGTCATCCATCAATAACGTGAGGTACTTTTGGTCTCTTGTGTTTTATTTTAATGCTCGTTTATGGCTCCCAACTTAAAGCCTACGCCAGATTCAGCCGTGGTGAGCGGGCGCATGCTGAGATATTTAAGCCTCATAGTCATTTTGGTGAAAACGAGTTCAAGGCTGAGTAACGTTTTGGATTATCACTAACCTCATATTCTGAATGTGACAGCTTAAGTTGTTCATGTAGCTTTCTAATATATACCGCGCACGAGTAGCCGGACAGACTTTAAAAGAAACTTCCGATTCTGAATTTTACAATGTTTTATCTAATACCAGCTTTCGGTGGATGTTTAATTGCCAATGTAATACCCGCAAATGCCAGTCAGAGATTCGATCTCAACACATTAGTTCTAGAGTAAATATACTACTCTGGTATGGGCTGAAGTAAAGATAGGTCTTGCAACTAAACGCACTCCTGGAGCAAGTATTTAGAGTCAAACAATGTGTGCAGATAATGCATGTCTGCCAAATCACTACACGACGCACAGAGAACAAGATCGTGCGAACAAACGTCATTTAGTATTTACCTTTCGGAATGCAACTGGATTGAACAACACCTGCAGAATACAATGTTTGGCTGGAAGCCTTCCAGGCCGCCCACGGAGCGATTCAAACGACACAACTGCTTGTATCCGGAGATGCTCTCTGGTTCTTCACATTCGGTGCATCTGTATTGGCACATATAGAAATAGCTACACATTCACCCGCCAATGCGCTACCTTTTATGATGATTGTATCGTCTGCCCGTACGGTGTCGTCCACCTGACCCCTGGTCACGTCGGGTCCCGTCGGCATGCAACTCGGCACCAGACTACCCACTCGCACACGTGTCCCAATCATTCAATAGTGGAATTCACCTCACGCGCTTCTGCCCATGAATTATTCCTTTCGTCGCTTCTGCTCGCTTTTCGTCGCGGTCGCTTGCATGGGTGCCACAGAGCGTCAAGGCCTTCATTAGGGGAATTAGCGATTGCTTGCCCGAAGGCCAAGATCAATTATGCCAACCTGCACTAGCGGGACCGCTGACCGGGTTAAGTTGCTGCCGCCGTCGACTGTGACGCTCAAGCTGCTCACCTGGGAGCTGTTCCGCCGCCGTCCACTCTGGCTGCGCGCGCCGCCGCTACCGCAGTGCAATGCGCCCACCGGCCGCGGGGCTAGCCTACTTATGCCGACCGGACGGCTAGCCCCCTCACCGCACCTGCGCCGGTCACTGCGCATGCGCAGTGTGCGCGGGGCTCCCGCAACCGCTCGTCGCTCAGACAGCCCGGAGCTAAATGAACGCTACGAAAGGCAAGGTGCATGGAATCGCAACGTGTTTTCGAACGCCGTGGAGATGCCGGTAGCAGTGAGGATGAGTGCAGCGGTCTGTCCTCGTAACAGCCGAGATTGGCTGACGTTCTGTTTCGTTGCGAACAGGCCGTTGCGTATTTTGCCTTCTCAGGAGATGCGCGCTAAGAGATGCCGATGGTCGTTGGTGCTCATCCGGATGGCATCGGTGCACAAATTTGCATGCCTCCAAGATACCGTTTTAAACTTGCTTTACGGAAAGATGGCTTCGTCTTCTCGCAATAGCATTGCTCGGAAGATGTGTCATTATTATGATATTAAGGCCACCTAGATCGCCGGCAAGCAGTGTTTGCGGCGAGTACCTCTTGCAGCAAACCTTTCCATTCAGACCGTCGGCACTCTGGACAACCAGCGGTATTATCTGGACTAGAGGCTTTCAGTGTTAAAGTAAATCCATGGTCTACACAGACTTATGGAATTTACAGCACAATTGGAGCAAACTGCATGTCAATGATTATTGTTTAGACATTGGAATCAAGTCAAAATGAGCAAAGAGCTTTTGGCCTGAAGCCATTCACTGGCTGAGTTTTATTTCGGAATCAGCCGTCGTTTTTAGCCAAGCATTCATAAAGGAAAATATTCTGCCAAGATATAGATGCAGTTATAGGTATATACACATATACATACATATATATATATATATATATATATATATGTATATATATACCTATAACTGTATATATATCTTGGCAGAATATTTTCCTTTATGAATGTTTGGCTAAAAACGACGGCTGATTCCGCATTGGTAAGCCTTTTGATGCATCGTTCGAGGTTCTGAGCTTTCTGCTTTGGAGAATGGTTGAGATAAAAGATCACTTGCACGCACCACCAATATATTTGCGCCTTTAGAGCACATGTGACACGAATATGACAGGACATTCGCAAGACAAAAACTTACCGGCAACACGGACAAGCGTGCGTGCAACGACAGAACGCGACTTCAAATTTGGGAAAGCAGATTGATGATGAATTTTCCCCAGCCATAACCAAACAAACAAGTTCTTCCACAACTTCTCAGTTGTTAGGTGATGGGCGGTAGGCAACACTGAAGTGATTATATCTTTGCGTCTTTTAATTTTGTTTCATTGAGAGTGCATTTTATGTGTATCTAAGTAACGATAGGAATTTTTGTGTTGACCCACTAAAAGACGCTCTTAAGATAGGAATGCGCAATTTTCATGCTTAAAAGCTCAAAAGCAAATTTAAACTGGGACGCCCGGCGATGCCCGGCCAATCCAGAAGGGTATGCTGCAAAGGAATGACTTGCGATAGTTGAAGTTAGTTTTATAACCAAAAATTGATGCGATTTGTGGCACGGGTATTCGCATTTGCAGAATAGAGTACGCTCCAATAAAACTGCCAGCCGCGAGCCATTTACTGGAGCAATGCAGCCAATACAAGCTCAACAATGCCCCAACACCAGACAATCAACTTCCAGAAAATCGAGGATAAATGGCAGCATGCAATCTCCAGAGCAGGCGATATACACCAGTCTCAATTACCCACTAGGGTGTTTCTCCAGGAATTCAGCACACTTCATTTTTACGAAGGAAATATTTTGGTAAAATGAATAAAATAGTCCTTAATTTGAGCAGCTGAGGAGAAATGACCGGCAAAATAATGTTCCAAGACAAAATGCATTGTGTGATAGTCAGCCTTATCCTACATTTGTTATGTACTCCATTCAAACACATGAGGGTGGCACACCAACATTTTTGGCCTAGATCAACATTGGGAAGGCCAGAGCACAACAGATTACAAATAGATATGTCTGGCTGATACCCATTACCTTCAGAGACTCACCTGGGCTCTCGTTCATAGTGGTGGTGTAACTCTGCTCGGCAGTTGACTGGATCCGCTTGAACTCGAGCGGCGTGTCAGACGGGAAATGTGTCGGGCGCGAACGGCATTTGCGGCCAAAGACGCTGCCGTCCCTGGCCTTGCTGTCCATGGCGGCCGCCATTGCTGAGCTTAAAGGTTTCGTAGAAGCCCGATGGGCACCCCAACTTCAACACCAAGTCGTGTGATGGAAGTCTTGATGGCTTCAGGCTGCTCAGAAGCTCCAATTGGTAGTTAACAGCTCCTTCTGGGCGTGGGAGAGCTTCCACCGACTTGCAGGTCCTCGCCTCTCCACGCTGCTTCTCCAGAAGCCTGGGTTCCATACTATCAGCAGCGAAATTTTCGGCGATTGGATGACCTGCTCGCTAAGCCAGGCTGCCCCTTGGTCCGTTCCTCCAGGTCGGAAAGGCCTTGACCAAGAGGTCTTTTGGAAATTATACGCTCTCCCCGTAGTGAAGCTTGATTTGGCCACCTTGGGTCTGGAGCTGGCCGTTACCAGCTTGTAGGAGTTGGTTGGCAAACTGCCCGCTGCTTTGTCGTGATTTGAGTGCGCACACGTTGGTGGTGAGATACTTGCTGATGTTCTGCTCGTCATATACTACACGTCACGCCGAAATTTATAATCGCAGCGGATAAACAGGTGCACTGGAACCTCTCAGAGCAACTACCACAGAATTTGTGTTTGTAGGTTCTTGTTGTAGGTCGTTATGATCTGGTTTCCAGTCATTCGTCTCTTCGCAACTGACAGATATGCAATCAATCAGCACGTGACAGCCGACATTCTTTGCTGTTCTGATAACGTGGCGGGGAGCCGATCGTCGCCAATGCTGACTCTGGGACAGGCTTGCTCGGGCTGCACCTGTCTCGTTGCTGTGATCTGGACTGCAATGTGCAATGTTACATAAGGCGTCCTCTCGCCATGCTGGTTCAGAACATGAGTTTTCATGAGGCTGCCTCCGACGGCTCTCGGGTTATGTAGCGGACAATGTCAGTTTCGCCAGCATTACAAAAGATTTCATTCAGCTGCGCCCTACGCTGCAGTCGTCTGCACGAGTCTGCATCCCTAGATCCTTAACATTCACACTCCAGCAGGGCTGCAGAACTCAACAGGGCCTGCAGAAAGATGATGGGATAACCTTGTCATCCTCAACCGGAATAGAATCACTCCCCGACCACCGAGGCTGGCTGCATTCTTGACGGAATGTGACGTTTTTTCGTCCGGTACATGCCCCGCAGCTCCGTCATAGCCGCGCTCCCGACCAGTTTCCAGCGAAACTCTCATCGCCAACAGTACACGTCTGCGGAATAGGCACAGACAACCTGCAGAACGGCTCCATCAATATTTAACAGGTGAAAACGGCAGGCGACGGACGGCAGAGGTGAGCGTCTCGCACCAGGCGGCCAGATTAGGAGCGGCTTTGGGAGGACCGGCTACCGAACATTCGCCGACGTCATCCACTGCGCACAGCCAGGCGGTTGGCTGGCGTCCGGTGTGCCGGCTCACGCACGGGCAGCCTTAGTATTTGAAGAGCAATCTTTCGACGCGGCTGAACCTGAAAATACACACGACCTGCGATCAAGCACGTCTCTAAAAAGTACGAGGATCAGTTTGTCGGCGACTTGACGACAAGGTAAAGTTCCGTGCAAGACTGGTGAACGCTATCAGGAGTGTTGTACGCTAGAGGTGAAAGATCTAGGTATCACGAAACCGGCGTCCGGCGCTAAATCACTGCCAGCGGTGGAGAAGTGACGTGACTGGCAATGTCGTGGTAGGTATCATTCGCTGGTATTGTAGTATTCCTGGTATAATTTGCTGGTAGGTATCAGAAGTACTGATTCGTCACACGTGCATCGCAAGCTGGTCCTAATGCCAGTACCTGCCAAACCCCGGTGGCTTTAGTCCGGCATGTCCATTTTGTTCATTAGTTTATTATGGAGAAATGGGGCATATAGGACCGCGAGATATCGGCAGTGTCGCGTGAGGTATCAAAGTGCGGCCCGCCGTGTCAGGTTAGGTTTATGACCTACGGTGATCTTTGCGGTCCAAATGCCACCGTTGCACAAGCAATGCTGTTAGATAAAGGGTCAACAAAACCAACCATTTTTTCATAGCGTGGATGTCATCAAGGGACGAGCTTAATGTCAAGTTGTTTCAGTCCCCTATGATGACCACGTTATGTCATTGGAATGTCAAGGAGTGAAGTTAATTGGTGAGCAAACTATGAAGACAATGGGAAGGTCACATTATAACGCACTGTCATAGCACTTCAAGTTTACTCACATTTTGATCCAACATTCTCAAACCAAAACTACCCTACGCCATTGGCCTAAGATGACGAGAGCATTTATCTTTCAGAGTTTACGTGGCATTAATGTTAGGGGAAAATACTGAACATTTAAGGAGGATAACTTAAGCCGTTCTCCAAATTTTCCCGAAAAGGACATGAGAGGGCGGTGGCC